TAGTATCGCGGCATGGGTCGCGCAAAGTCCTTGTCCCAGCAGGGCACCTATAGTTTCGCGAATGGCCATGGCCCAGCAGTCCACGCAAAGTCCTTGTCCCAGCCGGGCACCTATAGTTTCGCGAATGGCCATGGCCCAGCTGTCCACGGATAGTGTCGCCCATGGCCTGGGCGTGCCGCACAGCACGGCACGGACAATATCGCCCATGGGCATGGCCCAGCAGGGCACCGACAATATCGCCCCTGGTAATGCCCCAGTTGGGCAGGAAAAGTGTTGCCCATGGCCATGGCCGTGCCCCAGCAGGGCAGCTCCACTGTCGCCCACAGCCCTGCCCCAGCATGGCAGCTCCACTGTCGCCCGCGGCCGTGCCCCAGCACGGCAGGTATAGTTCGCCCATGGCCATCGCCCTGAAGGGTACGTATAGTGTCGTCCATGGCCATGCGGCAGCATGGCGCACGTGGCCATGGCTCAGCAGGGCACGTGTAATGCCCTGCCACGGCCATAGCCTAGCAGGGCACGTATAGTGTTGCCCATGGCCTGAGCGTGCCGTACAGCAGGGCGCCTATAGTGTTGCCCATCACCATGGCTCAGCAGGGCAGCTATAGGCGCCTGTAGTGTCGCCTACAGCAGCAGGGCGCCTATAGTGTCGCCTACAGCAGCAGGCTTTAGGCGCCTATAGTGTCGCCCGGATGGCCTGAGAGTGTCGCACAGCTTGCCGCCAGCTCAGCAGCAACAGCACCGCACTACCCTCTTCACCAGAATAGAACGCACGGTCATTATCGCCGTATCTAGCGACTGAGAGTTGCCCCACATACAGCTATGATGACCCGGCGTTCTATTCGGGGGAAGACGGTAGTGTTGACCATGGTCTCTAAGGCCGGTGCCCTCCTCGGAAGGCGTACGTGTGTGCGGCATTTTTTTTTTTATTATTATTATTTTTTGGGGGGCGGGGCAGTTTTTGGTGTTCCCAAGCGTAAATGGCGTTATGTGAAAAAAAAAAAAAGAAAACAAAGGTGTGCCCCGCACGCGAAAAAAAAAAAAAAAACGTGKGCCCCSCMCGCGAAAAAAAAAAAAAAAAAAAAGGTGGTGTAGACAGCGTTAACCAGGATTATCATTTACCACTTACACGTGCTGCTCCCCATGAATAAGATTGGAGCATTTTCCAAAAAAGAAAAAAAGAAAAAATTGGAGCATTGGAAAAAAAAAGAAAAAAAAAAGGATTATCAGTTAAATCTATAATCTGTCATGGTGAGGGGACCCTGCTGCGGACAGTCGACGGACGTCGCGTGTTCGATTCTTGCTGCCTCGGCTCCTGGAGATGCAACTCAATTCGGCGGACAGTAGAGGGGTTCAGCCTCCCCGTGCGCAGTCCCACTAGCAAAGAGGATATGATTGAGCGCCTGAATCTGGACGTGTTTTACGCAGAGATGCAGAAGCCAAATCAATCACGATTTCGTGCACGTTTCCACAAACACGTCAAGACTCAGGCGTGCCATCCAATCCTCTTTGCTAGTGGGACTTCGCCCCTGATGAATCGGTGAAAGTCCGACGAATGGACGAATAGATACCACAAAAAGAAAAGAAAAAAAGAATAGATACACGGACCGACGGCCGGTCCGGATACGTTCCACATGTTGGCATTCCCCATCTGGTCTGATGAGGGCCTGTATCGATGAACGGGTCCTGACAGTTTACCTACTGCTGTAATTAACGGTTTTTTCGTTACGTTTTATATCATCATTACGTTAATTGGCTTGTTGACTGTTAGTGCCTGTGCTAACTCTTTTACTGTATATAAGCTGGCTGCTCCAAAGCCTTCTATAAGGCCCAAACCTCCACTCCATCTCTCCTCCCATTCTCTGTCCTCCCCTTCTTGAATTACCACCAAGAAGAGGTTGTTGAGTTACCCTACACTATGGACCCCAGGAGAACGGGCATTTTCATTACGTATTATTTTTTTTTCTTTCAATTTGGATCGTTACTCGATTTATGCGTGTCTTCCTTGCTCAGGGGCCATTATGCTAATCTTCTCTTCTCGGTATCCTTCCAATTTTACAGGATGTTTTTCTGCGTGTCCAATCGTTGATTCACTTGCTGCATTAATGACTTCAGTTGGCTCTTTGGCTGTTTAGCGACCGTTCAATGATTGTGCAGTAATCATTTCCTCACTGTTCAATGATCGCTCTCCAAACAGATGTGTGTGTGTGTGTGTGTGTGTGCGCGCGCGCGCGCGTGTGGGTGTATGTGTGTTTGTGGGTGGGTGATCGTGTTTGATGATTACCGCCGTCAGCGGTTCGTTCAATTTGTATGGTCTCTCAGAAGTAACGTCAGCCTCCAGCACTTGGACTTAGAGATGATTCCCTTTCTTTCCCCCCGCCCTGACTGAGAGGTACTGTTGTTGTTGTTGTTGTTGTTGTTGACTGAGGTTGGTTAATAACCCGTCTCTCCGATGTTGGATGTTCGGCCCCCTCAGTTGCCGTACATCACCCCTCCCCCTCTGTGACGATCGCTGTCCCTCCCCCTCCCCCTCCCCCTCCCCCTCCCTTCCTCCTGTGATGAAATACTCCCCTCTGCTTTGTTGGCTGCCCCCCCTCCCCCCTCTCGCCTCTGCCCCCCCTCTCAACCAGCTGTCCCTGTCCGTCCCCCCTCTCCCCTACCCAAACCCTGCTGCTGCTTCGCCCTCCTCGGTTGGGTAATCACCCCTCCCTCTCTGTGAATCTGGCTACCCCTCCGCCCCCTTATCCTCTAGTTCCAAAAGCATTCTGGATCAGGACAAGCCTCACACGTTGCTGCTAATCCCGACTAACCTGCAGTGTGAGCGTGCCTTCGACTTATTCCTCCCCTTTCTGCAGATTGCGCACAGGTGCAGACTCCCTCACAGCGAACGTGGCCCGTCAAGCCTCCTGTTCAATGCTTCCACTGTCCCCGTGGATTATTAAACATCATCATGTACCTGGACGTATCCCTGTGCAGCATTAAACATCATCTACCGTGACCGTGACCGTGGCCGTGGCGGTGGCCGTGGCCGTGGCCGTGGCCGCCTGCACTTCGCTTCGGTCGTATCACAAATATTGTAGAGACCATGCATGCACGTGGAGACCCTGCATGCACGTAGAGACCATGCATGCACGTACACGCAAGTTCACTTCTTACAGGCATATTCTTCGGCTTTCGTTTTGTTTTTTTGCTTTCTTGAGCTCTATTTTCTTTTTTTGCACCCCTTGAGATATCATCACTGACCTGACCGGGGCCAGCTGACTCAGAACGAGGACTACATTCTGGTCATTTCATTTCAATGTATCTGCCTTTGAACTGGGTCTGAGTCATATTTCAACAGTTTGTGGGTGTACCAACTGAGCTATTAGGCCAGTCGGTTTCTTTTTGGATGTAGATGAGTTGGTACACCCACCAACTGAGCTACCTTCCTCCCCCGAATACAACGTACGGTCATTATTGCTGTATTTGCGATATATTTCAGTCTAAATGCACAGCTATAATGACCGTACGTTGTATTCGGGGGAAAAAGGTAGGCCAGCAGGCTTCGTTCGAACTTGGGTCTGATTCATATTTCAACAGTTTGTGGGTGTACCACCTGAGCTACCGTAGGCCAGTCGTTTTTTCTTTTCGGATGTAGCTCAGTCGGTACACCCACCCACTGACAGCTACGCCAGTCGCCTTTGAGCTAGAAGGCCTGCATTTCAAAAGAAGCTGTTTTCGGATCTCCATCCTCTCCTCCTGGTTAGATACGCAGACTGCCCGAAGATGCACGTCACTAGAATCGCCCGTTTCCCCATTCGGCAATGCCTAATCACCCTGCATCATCGTCATGAGGGGCTGCCACAGTCCTTGCAGCGGTGGTGCCAACCTCTACACCGCCGCGGGCTTAGGAGACTTCCAGGTTTGGTTGTTGTTCCACCGGAACTATACATATAGAGTAGCAAGAGGATGGGATAGATGAGATGAGATGAGATAAACGCGGAGTAATATACGTAGATAGCCTGAGAGAAGAATATAGATTATTAGTTATAATAAAAAAAAAAAGGTTGTATTTTCTTTCCCCCACTTTTCTTGTCGTTTTATAACGATTATCTTAGTATTTAACTTGGACCATTTCCCGATTCATGCGCGTGTGTCATCCTTGCGCGGGGGCGATGTTATGCCAATCTTCGTCTTTCTCTTCGCGGACAGAAAAGATAATTGTATGACCAATGCGCCTAACGCAGGTGGTACACCCACGAATTGTTGAAATGCAGACCCCTTGAAGTTCGAATCCAACAGATTCCGTCAGATGACCAGAATCAATCAGTTCTTTCTAAATTACCTGAAGCAAGTCAGATCAACGAGGGTGGTATCTCAAGGCCGTCTCCCTCTTTTTTGTTTGTTATTAATAGTATAAAAAAGAAGAAGGTGCTATATTGTACGTATGGCCGACCCTTAAAATGCATCATTGATTGACTTGTTTAATTGCGCTCATTTTTTCTTCCCCTTCCCCCCCTAAAGCGGCTTTGCTAAGATCAAGTTTTCATTTCTTACCCTTAGTCTCGGAGACTAACCCTCTTTTAACCCGCCGTTTAGGTTCGCCGGGGCCCCTTTTTTGTCAAACATTAAAAGGTATACCCTTAACGTGTTTTAATGCGCTCTCATTTCTTACCCTGAGTACTCTCAGATACTTACGTACTTACCCCCTTTCTGTTCTGAGTGTTCCCATACTTAGCCGACCGCACCGCCCCTCCCCCCCCCCCAACTTGCTCTGCTCTCTTTCTTTCTTTCTTTCTTTCTTTCTTTCTTTCGTCCTTCCTTTCTTTCTTTCTTCCTTTCTTTCTTTCTTTCTTTCTTTCTTTCTTTTTAAGTCCAGGGTGTTGCAGAGGCCAGTTGCGAGGCACCTGTTTCTCTGTTGCATGGATGGGAGAAGCTGGGAAAACAGAAAACAAAGGGCACACAGATCGTGCAGCGGCACCGGAGGTACATTAAACGTAATAATGGTAGCGCTCTCGAATTACCCGCTATCAGGGACGCCATACATGCACCGGTATCCGAGATCCGAAGCATCGCAGGTCGCTGTGGGAATTTCCTCGAACTGGGATGGTTGGGCAACGGTCGACAGAAGACGCCACTCGATGAGAATGGCAATCAATGCTGCTGCGCATACAGCAAAAGGCAGGCCAGCTCTCGGCCAGGGCAAGGACTGAACTGCTGCTGATTTGCTCCGAGGGCCAGACATCTTCTTCGGTTCCCCCCCGCGAAACAAAACAGAGTCTGACGGCAATCTGTGCAAGTCAACCTAAGATCTCTCCATGCCTTTGTCCTTCCTCTCTGGGATCTCCACGTCAGATCTCGCCGCCGCCTCCTCAATGCTCGTAAAATCTGCTTCACACAATTCCTTGAGTAGCTGCTTAGAGATAGAAATACAAAATGACCACGTTTGCGACTTCAGCAACTCCAGCCTGAAGTCGTTCGACTCAAGTGAGTGACGTCGCTCGCGTCGCTTATCAATCGCAATGAGCGACGTCGCTCCGGTCGCTCAATTCCAGTGCGCGACGTTGCCCTCGAAGCTCAATTCCAGTGAGCGACCTCGCTCTCGTCGCTCAACTGACGACCAGAGAAACGACGTCACTCATGGCTCGCAACTGAACGATCAGAGAAGCGACGTCGCTCATGTCCTTCTCTGGGACTACAACAATACTTAACACCAGAACCTGGTCACACGAACACAGAGGAGAAGAGCGTGCCTCCTCCCTCCCGTAGGTGAGTGCGCGTGCGTCTCTCTTAGAGCGCGCGAGTGCGGACGTGTCTCTGCGTGGGCTCGTGTGTGCGCGTGCATGCACATGCAGCCTTGGGCTCGTGTCTGCTCGTGCATGCACATGCCGCCTTGGACTCGTGTGTGCGCGTGCATGCGCATGCAGCCTCAGCCTTGCTTCATTCAACACAGTACGGAAGGCAAAATCCTGACCTGTCGAGCTCCCTCTGTTTGCGCGTGTGTTCTCATCTTCGCTATACACAACTCTAGCACATGGCACTGCGCCAGACTGTTTGGTTGGACCTTCACTGACTCGTCAGGAGGTTGAATGTCTGCGTGTGTGTGTGTGTGTGTGTGACATGCAAAGGTTCGAATCCTTTTACTCCAGCGATTAATTCCAATTCAGTTTTTGTTTTGAAAGCTGACGTGGACAAGGAAAGGGCGACGGTGACAAACTGCGTCGTCAGACTTTCAGACTGTGTGTGGACGTCCGCCTGCATGCGCAGCAGACATGCCGCCTTGGGCTTCACCGCCACCCTCTCTCCACTACCCTCCACATGCACAAAAGAACAAAAGCATGGCGCTCTATCGCCCCTATCATTAGACTGCCGCTCGGTGCCTGCCACGCTCCAGATCACCCCTTTGGAAGTCCCGCATATCGGGATTCACTCCCACAAAGGGAACCCAACGCCTCAATCAATCATTCTTTGCTGCGATCGGGATCCCCTCCCACAAAGGGAACCCTGCGCATGAATGATTATTTCCTGTCATCGGGATTCCCTCCCACAAAGGGAACCCAACGCATGAACGATTCTTTGCTGCGAGAAGTGTCCCTACCGGTAGTGATCTTCTCTGGGACAGAATTACCCAATAGGTCGGTAGGGAAATTGGTAACGTGGGAAATAAAATGGGAAATGAGGGGGCCGCGCAAACGTAGCGGGGACAGCGGCGGTGGCGGCGCCCGGTCTCTGTCAGCGGCTGTGTGGGTTGCAATGTTGGGGTATGCGGACGTTGAACTTTTTCCACGGGGCGCCTACCCTGCCAGGCACCATAGCTGTGTGAGAGCTATGGCGACAGTGCCCTGGCATAGCCTAGCCCTTGAGTGGGTAGGGAGTGCCTTTGCACTCGTACGCCACGGCATCCTGGCAGCTCCTCATCAGACCTCCAGACCTCCATACCAACATACATATCTTACAGGACTTTGATACCAGAGGAGCTGCCTTCCCCTCAAGCCTTCTGCTGGAAGGGGGGGCTCCTTTCTTACCATCCTTTCTTACCATCCAAAAGCCGGGCGTTGTAGTTCAAGACACATGCCTTCACCACCAGAGAAGCATGGAGCGTGGAGTGGCGTATCCGGACTCAGTGGGAGACCGTGCGGTTGCGGTGGCAACACTCCGGCAGGTCCAAGGGCTTCAGCAAGTCTCGTTTGCCCTAATCTTGTCGCAAGGCAGTTTGCTGTTCACTTACTCCTTGTGGGTTTTTTTCGTAATTTGGTTGTTGTTCTGGTCCCCTACGATCTGTTCATTCATGAGGAAATCGATGGTTTCTTTCTGATTGGTAAAGAACTCTTATGGGTGAACGAGATACTATAGTTGCCCGATGACCTTAAGTTTCGGGGACTGTCTATAGTGGTTTAGGGTTGAACTTTGGTGGGTTTTTCACTCTTTCCTTGAGAGATTCCTCCGCAGTAGATTCTTGGTATCGTCTCTGTTGTTGGTAATGTTGAGATGTTTTGGCTTTGTCCTTTTGTGGCTTAGTCTATAGAACAGTTGATTTCTTAATTGATTCTCGTGTTTGGTATTTTGTAGATTTTCGAAATTGGTTTGGGTATTGGGATTGTTTTTGCTGTTGGTATATGGTACGGTCATTTTGCAGACCGTTTCAGTGGTCTGTGACCTTCCCAGTGTATTCCGCCTGATATACCTACGGCAGTACCTGAAAAATTTTAAGAAATTAGTTGGGTTAATGGTGTACTGCCATAGGTTGGTCTTGCAATTATTTTTCTTCGTAGATTAACATGTTAGAATCTGGATTGGCAGTTCTTCTTTCGCTTATTTTTTGGAGACAAGATTATTACGTTCAGCTTAAAGCTGGTTTGTCTTAAATTGGGTTAATTGAGTTGGTCTCTGGTACAGTTTTTAGGGTTAGTACGGGAATCTTCTTGGTCTTTCCATTTGTGACTGTTTTTTACTGGTATGGAATCTGGATGGGTTGGTGTTTAATGGTTTTTTGTGAGAAGGAGGTACGGTGGCTTAGGATTGGAAATGAAGGCAATCTGGTGATAGTTCTGTGATACCCGTGGAATTGCTAGTAGTGGCGCCTCCTTGTGCAGTGAGAGTGTAACAAGGGGCGGTGGGAACGCTACTGGTTAGGTGGCACCAGAGAACCGGCGAGGAGCAAACTTGAGTTGTACCCATTGTGTCCGCTAAAACCACGAAGGACCAAGGGTGCGTGGTGGGAAACCTGTTATGGCAGCTCAGGCTCTTTGCGGGGTGTTGGAACAGAGTGGGTGATAGGGTAGCTCGATACAGTAGCTAATGAGTGTGAGAACAAAGCAATTTGTACGATCGTCAGGGTGAAACCCAGGGAATTACTGATAGCGGCGCCATCTTGAGCAGCATGAGCCCATGAGGGCATCAAGAGGCGGTGGGAACGCTTTTGGTGAGATGCTATGAGAGAACCGGCGAGGAGCAAACTTGAGCTGTACCCATTGTGTCCGCTAAACTACGAAGGTCCAAGGGTGCGTGGTGGGAAACCCGTCATGGCAGATCAGGCTCCTGGCAGGGTAGTGGAATAGGGAGGGTAGAAGGGTCACTCCTGCAGGTGTGATCAATTAACTGCTGTAGGATTGTTCTCTATTTTTGGGAAACAATATCACCACGATTAGCTTGAAGTTGGCACGAGTTTGAGATGAGAATTTGGGATTCTATGGGATGTTCTAGTTTGCTTTAGGAATAATTTTTAGGGTTAGAATTGTAAAAAGTCCTTGTGAATTGCTTTGCGCGTTTTCGAATTCTGCAGATTATAACTTGTAGTTCTCTGCCAATAGTGTTTCGACGTTAGAAACATGCCGGTGTTGCATTTGTTCTTCTGCGCTGCAAGGATAACATGCTATAGGCTGAAGGATTGGAGAGGCTTACTATCGATTAGTTCAGCTGCCTTTTTCTGTGCTTCAAGGCTAGTTTGAGGAGTTTGTCCTATTGAGACTGGGCGGTCGTGGGACGCTGGACACAGTTTCCAGCAGATTTCATCTCGTTAATACCGGGTAGAATTGTGAGGTCCCCGGCCTCAACCACTTTTGTGTTGAAATGTAAAGTGACAACTTCTCAAAAAAAAAAAAAAAAAAAAAATGGTAACGTGGTCCCAACGGGCCTGGCTCAGCTGGTACTCCCACGGAGTGATTTTTTTTTTTTTTTTTTTTTTTTTGCCCATGGACTGTTGAAAGGCAGATTTTGTGTTTTTCAAAAGATCCTTGAAGAAAATCTACTTTACGAGAGTTCAAATCAGATCCAATCAATAAAGGGAAACAAAAAACAAGATGACGGACGCAAAATGGGAGGGCCTGGGAGAGAATGGGGCGTGCATCCGCGTTGGGAGCCCTGCGCGGTCGTTTCCCCTCACAGAGAATGGGGTTTGATGGATCTGCGTTCGGAAGCCTTGTCTGACAGTCAGCTGGGGTCGACGTCCCAAAGCAACCTAATATAGGGTTAATAGCAAAAATATTGCTGTTTCGAAGTTTGGCAGCAAAAATGTTGCCCGTTCGAAGTTGCCTTTGCAAAAATAGAGGTTTCGTTGCAGCTTTATCGGGTTCCCATATTTTGCCAGCAAAAATACCGCGTTTTGCCCAGTTTCACAGAAAAGGACCCCTAGGCCTCTGGCCTCAGGGACTCAGGGACTCAGTGTTTTTTTTTTTTTTTTTTCCGGGCATGGCTGACGCATCTGGGCGTGCCCGCAGCTGAGATGCCTCGGCCACGGCCACAAAAAAAAAAACAAGAAACGTGGCCGAGGCATCTCGGCGTGGCCACGACCGAGATGCCTCGGCCACGCCCGAGGGAAAAGAAAAAAAAAAAGGAAAAAAAAAGGAAAAAGAAAAAGAAAAAAAAAAGAGAAAAGCTGAGTGCCTGAGGCTGGAACGCTTGAGTCCCTGAGTCCCTGAGGCCAGGGGCCTAGGGGTCCTTTGCTGTGAAATTTGGCAAACGCGGTATTTTTGCTGGCAAACTATGGGAACCCGATAAAGCTGCAACGAAACCTCTATTTTTGCAAAGGCAACTTCGAACGGGCAACATTTTTGCTGCCAAACTTCGAAACAGCAATATTTTTGAAATTAACCCTATAATATAATATAACAGCTCGGAAGAAAATGAAATGTGTGGTTGACCTGGTTGGAACACACGCTTGAAGCCCAACAGACAACAACAGTGAGAAAATTGACTTACCGTGAGGGCACGGGTGCGCAGCCCGTAGTTCGTTTGTTTATGTGGTTTGGGAAGGGTAAGGTAGTGATTATGCTGTATGTATGTT